ATCTCAGTAAACAGTCACCAACCCACATATTACTTAGACTATTTTATACCATTAAGAAAAGGTCTCCAGGGAACACTTAGGAAAAATAACACCACGTTTTAAAACGAAGGCTGCTGACATTTTTTAAAAAAATGTACTCTAGATATTTAATGACAAAAGTCTCTTGAAATTAGCTGCCTTGTTTCTGAAATCAAAGCCGGGTACATATTCATTCAAAGACGCACCACTGGTAAAAACAAAGCTTTGTGATCACTTTTCACTCTTTCACTGTTTGATCCTCCTAGGGGCATTTTATGATGAGGACCACACATTTGATGTCTGTGTTGCAGTGGCACAGAAGATCACGCAATGTGCTGCGTAGAGTCCAGTGAAAATGAAATTCCTGCTCTTTCCGCGTTAGTCAAATGTGCAGCGACAAGGAACATGTGGCTGTTGGGATGTTGTCAGACTGCAACACTCACTGTCCTTTACATTTATTACACTAGGTGAGACTGATAGGAGTTATAGCCTAACCACACCTGAAGAGCATGTGTCCTCTGCCCCCTGAAATACTCTGGCTGGTGTACATCTCTCAGAACTGGCTGAAGTCTCGAGGAATTGCTAAGCTTCTTGTGGATCTCTAGAGAAGGAGACGAATCTCAGGATGAATGGCAATGGAGGATTCTAGGCCTGTTCATTTGGGTTCCCCTCAAATTAATTTCCAAAGGCCGATTCCTACCCACTCAACCACTGTCCGCCTTTATGACATCAAGTGGACTCATGCCCTGATCTCATGATTTGGCCTTGAAATTTAAGGGAATGTGATGCTACGGAACAGGAAACCCCAGGCCCCAAACGTGACATTAATTCTGTGCTCTGAAACACCAATTGAGCACACATATTTTTTAAAAAAAATCACAAGAGACAGACTGGGTAGAGGAATTCTTTGTGTGGTTTTCCCCAGATTAATATGAGCTATATGACTCATGTCCTCTTTGGAAGTGCCCTCTTTACCTGTTTTGTGCCATCTGCACTTTGAGAGAAATTTCCTAGAGCTCAGAAACCTTTGCATTGCCACACACGTGGATAGTTGGTTTAGCCCCACTCCTGCATTGCTACAGTGCATGAGTGGTTTTGATAAAGAGGATAGTGGGCTTTAAACAGGTCATTAGGGCTTAATCGTTTCTATTACACTTTTCATCAAAATGGGCTATACAATTAAATTCACCCAACATAGATGCAATAAATACTTATAATATTTTATGGTGTTACTTCAACTGTTGTAACTGAAATATTTTCAGTAGACAGTGAAAAGAAAAACAAACAGAACATATCTATTTTGTCTGTCTTCCTGGATTCTTGAGTTAGCTTCTTTTGTTAACTGATATAAACAATGTCATTGTTCAGTTACTGTGGTTTTCTAATTCCTCCCTCCATCCTAAAACAAATTGTGTTTGTGAAGTTTTGTGACATTTTAATTATTAATATTTTTACTGTACCTCACTTGGAGACCACACAGGAAAACAGTAAACAAATTGCAATTAACAAAATATACTTGAAATGAGAAGTTACTGCAGACAGCAAGTTCCAATCAAAGTCAAAATCACTTATGTTTCACACATTGGTTTTTTTTGCCCCAGGCGGATATTTTAAAACTTTGACTTGCATACCTGAAAAAAAAGTTTATGCTCAATTGAATACCTAAACACATATATCTTCTAAATACATATGTCAGAAAACCAGAAATGATCACAAGTCCTAATGATATACTGTATACCCTCAGTGGAAACTAAATATTATCTGCTATTTCATATACCCAACAACTGTCTCACTGAAATCAATAAAGTGCAGAACACTTTTAACTCATGAGATCATTTCCATTGTTCTTAATTGTTTTAGGAGTGCTGAATAATAACTTGGATATAAGGCAGGAGATCAGTTTAGTCACTAAATAAATAGGCTTTGTTTGGGACCAAACAAGCTCTGTTTCGCCTCAAACAAAGTTAGATTGCCAGGAGCTAAAACACATTCATTTCCCCCTTATGACTAATTGTACTTATATTTCAGCTGAGGCTGCAGTTGTTCTTCTTGAGGCTGTAAGTGTTGTAAGAGTTGACAGGAATAATGGCCTTGAAACAAGATGAGATCCAAGAAATGGATTCACTTAGTAGTGTTCACAGTTCTTTGAGCAAAACAAATCCTAATCATTCTGGCAAAGACTTATTCTAAAATGTGCTCCCCTGGATGGGAGACACAAAAAGAAGAAAATCTAATCCTCCAAAGCACCTGAACACGATTTTCTATTTACTTTCAAATCTGTCTTTATTGGAAGAGGGCCACAGCGAGATTAATGCATTAACTTTTCATTCTGGGACCTGGTTTTGTTGTCATTCAAGGACCAAGAATTATGTAACACAGGCAGCTTTGATATATTGCCACTGCCCTGGGTGACTGTTTCTACAGGCATATAAAAAAATAATCTCAAAACAAATCTACCCTTGTGGTTGCTGTAGGAAAATAATGCTGGTACTTTGACAAAGATGGAGAATTTTTATGTGTTTCATTGAATCTTCAAGGGAAAGAAGCTTTTGTGCAAAAAAGGTGCTGGATCAGGCTCTGTTTTTGTGATCTATTCATATAGGCAAAAAACAAACAAACAAACAAAACAAAAGGCAATGAATCAACAGAAAACCGGGAAGGGCTGATATTGGCCACACTAGTTCATTTATTTCTACTATGGGGTATGGTGAAGGGTTTTTGTTCAGAAGCAACCAAACCAAATCGAATCAAACTATATCTCATCAAAAGCCACCAAACTCCGTAGTGGATTTAATTGCACCTGACAAGCACTGGAAAGGCACTTGGAAAATTCTTGCAAACTTCAGGGACCTTATAACCTGTAGCCTCAAGAAACCATAGAAAATAGAAGTTTCTAACACCACAATGACCCCATTAGTGAATTCTGAATTGCAAATGGCTACACGAACGGTGTGGTTTTCAAAGTGCACTGGCTCAACTAATTTATCCTAGATGTCTGTTAAAGGCATTTAATTATACATTCCAGGCCAGGCTTTTGTATCAACCCCTAGGAAAGGCCTGTATCTTATTACAGTATATCACTTCCCTAGTACAGGACCTCTTGTGCATATTTCAAATGAGTATAAGCTTGTATATGATACACTTTTGTGCATGGTTGTTTCATTCATTCATTTATTCATTCAGTTTGTATCACACTCCCATTAGTGTCATAGCACTACTCTGGGCGGGTTACAACACATATAATAGAAAACAAAAATAAAAATAGAAACATTAAAAGCAGCAACAATAACCCTAAAAAAGCATGTAAGTGATGATGCAACTGAATGTTCAAACTGCAATCAGTTATACAACCTTTTGCATACGTAGGTACTTGTGCAGCAATGTGATCCAATGCAATTACATTAACAGGATTGTTTTCCTCTTCTATCATTTTGTTGGAGTTGTTAAACTGAAAAATTAGCTATTGTTGCTACCCGCTACTTCAGTCTTTTTGACCAGCTGTCAGAGGATGACTGAGGTAAGAAATCCCTACCAAAACATGTTGGAGTTTTACAACCTCACATGCTGCCCGCAGTTTATTTGATCCGGGGGGGGGGGCTTTCTGGGTTGGGTGACTGTCAATCTATCTAGAACTAACCAATAATTCCCTCCCATCTCTGAATTCAAAGAGAGCCCCAATTCTCTTCTGAGTGTTCCTTTCCCTCTCTTTCATCTGTTGGGAGTCAATTTGTTTGCTGCTGATCTTTTCACAACTATAAGTAATGAAATGTTTTTTATTCTTTTTCCTACATATGTCTCAGAGTGTTACTGAGATTTTAAGTGTCGTTTAATAAGAAAGGGGTGGACTCTGGGGAACTTGAAGCTATTTCCATGCATTTCTGTACTTCTACTGGGAAGGACACATTTTACCAAATTGAGATTTAGTTGTTAAGAAAACCTTTGGTGCAAACTATGGCTGTACAGAAGTGGCTGTCAAAATTTTCCATCTTATTTCTACACCCTAATGAGAACCTTTCTCTGAAATGGCTGCAAGAAGATCAAGAATAATGGTTTGGCATAGATCTCAAGAACGATCACCCTCCTTCATTCTATATTGCTCTGTACTGGATCAAAGTGACAAGTGGGGGCAGGGACTTCCAGACCAGCACGTTCTTCTTCCTTCATATTTTGTGGCCAGCTTTATAGGACATCCAAATAGGGCTACAGCCTTGGATGAAACTGATGGTTTAGAACCATTCCAATTCACCTTCAAGGGTAGTGACTGGTAACAGCCATGTTGGGTACAATATATTAAAGGGATATTGGATATATAATGGGAGATGGATAGGATGTAGTACGTCATGTTACTGTTCTTCCTCAACTTCTCAGTGGCTGTTTAGTATTCTTTTGGATCGCAAGACACTGTACTATGGATCCTTGGTTGGTTATAAACATTTTTTTCAGGCAGACTTTCAACAAGCAAGCAGGGTTTCTTTCAAAAAATTTTTTTTGATCAAATGGTACTGTATTTTGTTGTTGATGATGATGATGTGTTTCAGATTATGTTTGATCAGCTTCATTGCTTTAATGTTTTAATTATATTTATTTGATTTGATTTTACCTTTATTGTTCACCTTGATATCATTTTTGGGAGAAAGTTTGGATATATTTGTTCCATTCTGTGACTGTTTTATTTGTTTTAATTTTGTTCTTTTAATAGGTTTGTTGTTTTCAAAAGCTGTTGGCCTCTTTGTGAGTCATTGACAAAGAGGTGGGATAAAAATGTTTAATTTAAATTGCAAAGTAAATTATATAGGAGAATCCCAGAAAGGAGGAGAGGAAAGGCCCACAGAGGGAATGAACAGAAAGGCAGAAATAAGGGTATGATAACCAATACATTTAAATAGATAAGTAAATAGGTTTGCTGTTTAAAATGCATTAATGTGTACAAACGCACTTATAGGCATTTTTAGGCCAGTTTCTTTTTCTGGTACACGGATTACCTGATAATTCACAGCCAAGGAGCTCCATTCTCAGTGTACAATGCCTTCTGCAAACTTGAGGATATAATCGTATGTACTGAGATTTTATTGGTGGGGTGAAAGAATTTGCATAAGGTGTATTATTATCCACATTCCCACGGAACACCTATGACAAAATAGATCAGATTGTAGAATACATTTGAACGGTAAAATAGAGATATATGATTTATGTGACAATTACTTGACTCCTAAAGAATGCCTACTGTCTTTCTTCAATGAATCTCACACACAGCTGATGAAAAGGTCAGCAACTTCCAAATGTATAACTACAGACATCTAATGATCAAGTGGTACTGTAACTTCATGTAGCCATGTGAGAAGTCATTCATCTAAAATACCCTGCCAAGAGAAGAGGAGAATTTTACCACTCCTCTTTTAAACTGGATTTCTGACTGGATTTCTGAAGTATAGTTAAACATTTTCTTGTACACATGGTGAAATATTGAGGGTGAACACAATTAAATATGTATCACAGTAAGTTCACCTTTTTACAGAGTGGTGTGTATGTATGTACCTTAAGTAGTAAGAAAGGCATGAAGGACAAGGACATGATAGCAATGTTCCCTCTAAGATGTGTAGGTGCACAGCGCTGCATCGGATTCATGCAGCCAAGCTGGTGTTTCCACCATTTGCTTCCTGTCATGACTGGAATCCTGAGTGCAGGGGGCAGAGCCTCCACGCAGCACTCCAGAAAATTAGAGGCAACATTGCACAACAGTGAGACAACAGCTAATGTAGAATCTAGTTTAATTCCAATGACAACGTAAGTACATCTTCAAAAAGGAAACAAGACTCTTCAAACAGACTTAGAAATAAGGGAAGTAAATTCTAATTTGCAAAGATGGGGAATCACCATATTGGTCTCCATGCCTGTGAGGACTAACTGAGATTTCCTGCTGCTTTTGTAACCACCTTTACAAATGCACTCCATCCACAATTTGCACACATTAGCTATACAGAACTGGAGGGTTGTTTCTTAGTTTAAGGGTCATTTGATAATTTAAAGGCTTGAGTTGTGCTGCTTGCATCTTACAGTCAGCCACTGTTTCTGCACTTGCTTTGATTTCAAGGGGGGAAAGGATCCTGTGCAAAATACACAGACTTTTAGTGCAGAAGGCAAAAGCCTGTGTCTTGCTCTTGGCAGGTGCTAAAGAACCTGACCAGGCTGTCTGATTCTTTCTTGAGAAAAGAAATCAATGCGAATCAATGAGAATGAAGAATACTATATGTATGCTTCACATCCTTATTAGAAATCACCTGTCACCATGTTACATGACAGGTTTGAGGCTGGCTCTCCCCGTTTACCTTTTTCCTTCTAAAACCACCTCCCCAGGGTTGATATGGGGCAATATGGGTTGATGCTCTGCAGCAGTTAAGTTTAATTTTTTTTCTGCACTGAGGCCCTGATCCAAATCTTTTCTTCCTCTCAAAATTGCTATGAGGGGAAAATGTGTAGGCCCAACTGAGGCCTTGATCCAAATCTCTTCCTCCTTCCAGAGTTTTTATTTGATTGAAACCTATAGGCACAATTTGAGATGCTAGTAAGAGCACTGAAAGGGGCTTCCTGCACTCTATAGAAAATATATCTTTTTCTCCCCTACACCTGTGCCACAGCCCTGATCCAAACTAGGTCATCCAAGGACTGATTTTAGAAGATAAAGTTATGTAGCAAGCTTGTTGTCTTCTAAAAATGCGAGTAGATAAATAGGAACCACCTCGGTGGGAAGGTAACAGTGTTCCGTGTCTAAGTCACGTGACCACGGAAGATTGTCTTCGGACAAAACGCTGGCTCTATGGCTTGGAAACGGGGATGAGCACCACGCCCTAGAGTCGAACACGACTGGACAAAAATTGTCAAGGGGAACCTTTACCTTTACCTTGTTGTCCCTGACAGGGGTGTGCAACTGCCATGGGTCTGGGGGTAATTTTCTGCCACCAGCTAAGACCCACACAAGAGAATCCAAAAGGCAACGAGGCGAAAAGATAGTGATGGTAGCCTCTTTGTAGTTGTGAAAATTGCATCCCCCTCCTGGTGTTAATCTCTGCTGGAGGTGGTGGCTGTGACCTATTTTTAATAGGAATGGTTGCTGGGGGAGGGCAATTTATCTTTTTTTCCCTGGCAACAAACACTTTTTGGATAGGCCAGTGCTGTTATGTTTCTCTGTTGAACTACCATATATTTGAAGCTATATAATGTTTTGATAATGATGGCATTGACTCACCATATCTTCAGTGGTGCCTTTCACTTTGTACGTTGACCATAATTTCCCATCATTGCTGTATGCAATTTTGTATGATTTAATATATTCTGGACTTCCAATTCTCTTAGCACCTTGAGTTATAACTCCAGTGATTCTCATCTTTCTTTGCAGGTTTATCTGAAATAACAATAATGTGTCATCAGTAACCATCAACTGTGGAATGATCGGTATTATGGCACATTTTAGCTTTGGGTTAAATATGAATTTCACAGCTTCTTTATTATATTCAATTTTCTTCCAACAAGGCTTCACTTTGGCTACAGTTCAACCTTAGAGGATATGACACCGAATTCACTGGAAGGGGTTATCATATCCTAAAGTACAGCAGCCTCTGCAGTCAGTGGGGTACTAGTATGGCCTTGCTTTTCAGAGACAAGCATATTCCTGCAGGGACATGAAAGAATACAGAAAAGAGTATATTTTACAGATTATGTAGGCTCCACTCTGGGAAGCATACATAACTGCCCAAAGCTAGATTTAAATGGTAACTTAAACTGCTAAAAATATATGAAGAAGATGTAATGTAGTGCTTTGTAGGTATTACCTTGGGAATTTGGTTTATTATCCAGGTTCGTGCTCAAGAACACAAATCAACAACAGCATAAATTCATTTCTTTCTTTCTTTATGACACAGCTAGAGCAATAGCTTTTCTTTGTTTGTCTGCATGCTTGCATTCAGACAGTGGTTATGTTAAATTTTTCTAAACTGCACTGTCATTCAAACAAGGGTGGAAAGCACAAGCATTCTGATTATCAATATCAAAAATGAGAAATAAAAACCAAGCATAATAAAAAAGATGTAACACTAACAGTTCAACCACCCATTACAATATATTTAAAATGCCTAGGCAAATAAAAAAAATATTTTGATGTGGTGCTGAAAGGAACAGAATTGGAATTAGTCTTTCTCTCTTCTGGATATTTGGAAGTTGGGGAGCCACCTTACTTTGTACTCTCTGTCCTTTATTAGCACTCTCCTTCTCTTTGTTCATTGCTAAAAATAATGAAGGGGAAACAGTGTCTCAATTAAATAATAAATTAATGAGTATTAGGGCACTTAACAGATCAACCACCTCCAGCTCCTTATTTACAACAACATGCCCATAAATAACTAAAAGTATATATCCAAAAATTGCAGCCACATTCTGAGGACTCAAAAGGGATTGCTAAGGAGCCTCAGATTTTGAGAGGGGGAATAGAAAACTGTTAATTACAGGATAAAGTATAAAAACAACAACCAGAGAGTGCCATATAATCTTGTACACAATACAAATGTTGGAGAGGAAATACCTTTATATAGATCACTAACAACAACAATCATCATCCTCATCAACATCAAACATTCAGCACATGCTTTTGTGATTAAAATTACTTCCTTAGGCATGCACCAATATCTTGTAGAGAATTCAGAAAAAAAATATAAATGAGTGCTCAGGGACTACTTCCTGTCTTAACAGGTGAATGTAAAATTCTGTGTGGTACAAGGGTGAAACACTTAATCACACACCCCAAGCTGGTTGAAATCAGCTTTGACCTAACTTAAGAAGGATATCTGGCAGATTGGTGAATGCCTGCGGAAGTGATTTTTAATCATGGAAGCTCATGCTGAAGTTTGACATTTTTAATGGTCTAAATATAGTGGTCTAAATAAAGATACCTTAGGCATCCTTCAGTCTCGAAAGACCATGGTAATGCACTCTGTATGAGTGTTCTCTCCAGAGCACAAAGCCTGGGTAGAATAATATGGAGGATAGGCTGTTATCCAAGCAGCAAATCCTCCCTCTCCACGTTGCTGAAATGGCCCAATGGAAAGGCAAGGGCCAATACAACTGGTTTCAGCGATGTCTCAGGAGTTGCCAGAATGACACGAACTGCCTCCGGGATTCTGGCTCCGGATTTTGCCTCGAGGTTAATTCCTGAAGCCTTTTCCATCAGTGGATATAGCCACAAGGCAGTGGAGGTTTGAACTCAGAGTTTTCCTTCTCCTAGATGGGCTGCCTTCCAAGGCTAACGAGTCCCACCTACCTGGTCCAGGTGGGTAGGTATCACATCTCCAGTATCTATAGAATAATGTCTGTGGCTGATGATGCGATCAACTTTGTGTGCGGATTTGCATGAACAAGATTCCAGTTACTGAATTCCAATTAGAACAGTCATAAATAGAGAAGACTTTCAGATTGTACGTGATGTTCACAGAACTATCCTCATTTCTATTTCCACTTTAGAATGCAAAATGACCAACAAAGTTGAATTTCAGATAATTTTGTGATCAACTTTAAAAATCCAAAATACTGTATGGTCATTTTTTTAAAAAAGGCAGGAAAGGGGAAATTTTCTGATAGTCTTTGAAGGAATGAAAAAGGTTGAACATTGAGATTCAACTATGCTACATTTTTATTTAAATCAATAATATTACTTCACAATGGACAGTATGATCTCAAATCTGACCAATGAATGTCAATGTAGCGTTCTCTATTTATTAGGTCTGTGGTTCATGTTACATTATGTAATGGTTTATGTTTGTTATATAATAATGGTTCATGCCTATTAATGTTACTGAGAGGCTGAGCTGAGAGAGATGCTATAAGAGGCGGAGCCTGAGTCAGTCTGTAGTCAGTAGAGAAATGTTAAGAGTCAGGCAGTAGAGAAAAGAGTGCGTAGTTTGGGAAATTCTGAGGAGTGATTAGTTACTGAAGATATTAATGAAACAATCTCTGTAATCAATAAACCAAAGTTTTATTTAAAGGAACTTGACGTGTGGACCTGAATCTTTCTGAAGTAAATGGTGATTTAGTGATCACCTGGTGGCAGCAAGTGTAAAAGAAGAGAGTGTTTGCCTTCGTGTGCTCTGAGGCTTGAAGGTCAAGCAAAAAGGGCACGAGGGTGTGCGCCACAGTCAATTTAAGCAATTAATAATTTGCTGCCCTTCTACAGTGCCCCAGATATGCCACCTGGAATGGACAGTTCACTCAATCTAATGGTAGTGCTGGAATGGTCTACATCTAAAAGCCTGAATAGACTGTGCACTATGTCATTTTCAGACTTTCTCCCATCCTTCAAGCTGTTGAGAATATGAAGGATAGCAGCTCTATCATTTTCTTGACAGCTTAACAAAGCGCCTTAGAGCAGTGGTCCTCAACCTTGGGCCTCCAGATGTTCTTGGACTACAGCTCCCAGAAGCCTTCACCACCACCTCTGCTGGCCAAGATTTCTGGGAGTTGAAGTCCAAGAACCTCTGGAGGCCCAAGGTTGGGGACCACTGCCTTAGAGAACTGGAAAGAGACATGGTTTACTATGTATGCAAAGCTGTTGTGCATCCATTAAGACCTTTACATGAACACTCTGTTCCTTCATTCCAAAAGGTTTGTTTATGAAAATAAAGGAGCCTCTGAAGGAGCCATTAATGTGGCACAAGGAGCAGAGGAGCAAACCAGGGCAATGTTTCTGAAAAATATAGGGCTGCTGTTTTTTCCTGAATAATTAGATGATATTTGAAGTGTTTTAAAAATGACAGAGAATTATTCTGCCAGAGATATGGAAGGCCACATGAATTAAGAGAAGACTGGAACAGAGGATGTCAAACAAAGAACATGAAATAAAGAACATCCCATTAGTGAAATGTTGTTGTTTAGCACAGTGTTTTTTAAGTAGCAAAACATTATCCAGGATGGTGGGTGTAATATTTTCTGACTCCCGTTATTTATATAAGGATCCCACATCACTCCAACAGCATGCCAGGATAAGAGCTTATGTAAGTTCATCATGCGAATATAATGTTACCACTCATCTGATGTATTCTACCACAGATACTTGGCACTTTGAATACTTTTGAGAAGTAAATGTCTGACTTACAGTACATGACAAAAGAAATTAAGCAGAAGGCTCCTCGCCTTTTGCAAAAGCAAAGTTTAAGTAATGAAACTGAGTGAGAATGGCTATATGTTCAAACTGATAAGGAGGAATAATTGATTCATTCAAAATGGTGTTTTGGAAGAATGTTTTATGGAGATCATAGACTCCCAGAAGGACAAATAACTGGTTTCTAAACCAAATAAAGCTTGAACTTTTCATTAGAAGCTAAAAATTACTTAATTACTTTTAGTGTACTTTGGACATATCATGAGAAGGCAAAACTCATTGGAAAAGACAATAATGACTAGGAGAAGCTAAAGGCAAAAGGAGAAAAAAGGATGAACTAGCATGAAAAGAATTGACAACTAGCATGAAAAGAATTGACTCAATAAAGATAGGCTTGGCTTTCAGTTTGTAAATCTTGAGCAGGACTATCAACCATAGGAACCTTTGGAGATCACTGATTTATAGGGTCAGCATAAGTTGGAGACAACCTGATGTCATGTAACAAAAACATTTAGTGTATCTTGATCATTTTTTGTTTTTTCCAGGCTTAAGGAAAGGACGCTCATAAGTGGTTACATATAGATACAGTGGTGCCTCGCTTAACGACGATAATCTGTTCCAGCGAAAACATCGTAAAGTGAAAATAAAACCCCACTGAAACACATTGAAACCCGTTCAATGCTTTCCAATGGAGTAAAAAACTCACCGTCCAGCGAAGATCCTCCATACGGCAGCCATTTTGGCTGCCTGTATAGCGAAGAATCTGTCACTAAACACAGCGGGGAACCATTTTAATCACCCGGTGGCCATTTTGAAACTGCCAATCAGCTGTTCGAAGATGCACAGCATTTTGTGAAGAATTGGTTCCTGAAGCAGGGAACTGATCGTTGTAAAGTGAATTTCCCCCATTCAGACCATCGTTTTGCGATCGCAATTGTGATTGCAAAAAGATCATTGCTAAGCGGTTTTATCATAATGCCGGGCAATCGTAAAGCGAGGGATGCACAGCATTTTGTGAAGAATTGGTTCCTGAAGCAGGGAACTGATCGTTGTAAAGTGAATTTCCCCCATTCAGACCATCGTTTTGCGATCGCAATTGTGATTGCAAAAAGATCATTGCTAAGCGGTTTTATCATAATGCCGGGCAATCGTAAAGCGAGGCACCACTGTAATGCTTATTTGACAGTGCTGCTGAGTGACTCAGCCATGTTGGCTTGTGAAAATACATGCAAAGACTAGGGCTATTTATGAGTAGACATGCAGAGACTTTTCTTGGCTGCTTAAACTAATTAAGAATCCCATTCAGGCCCACCTGCTTTGCCCTGCCCAAAAGTCAGCCAAAGTTTGGCAAAGATAGGATTTGGAATGTATGAGTTATAGCCCTCCCAATCAGATTCCCCCAGGAAAGTCCTCTTTAGCTGGCTAAAGAGCACTTTCCTGAGGAGACCTGCTCTGGGGGGGAGTATAAATGGGATTTCCCAAATCCAGTCTTCACCAAATTTGGAGAGGGTGTGCAGGAGAGTCAGCTGAAGACTCTCTGTGAATTTCACATCTCTACCTCATGTGGGGGACATTCTACCATAGAATTAGTATGGTATACAGTATAGTGTAATTTCTTGTGTAATATCTTTTATCTGTCTCCAAAAGCTTTTTACTTTATCTCATGTCCACCACATATGAAAAAAAGTTCCAGGTTGCTGAGAACACTTCCAACATGAGTTGCTAGCCCCCGGCACCATTTTTCCCAGTTTCACAGGTGTAAAATACCATATATAAAACATCTTTAAGACATTTTCTCTCAAGTTTACTGGCTTGAGCCATCTATAGTTCTCATTCCACATTTGAGTCTGCTCATCTATATCTATATTATAACCAAAACTTTGTGCCCATTTAATCATCACTGTTTTCACCCTTTCATCTTCTAAATTATATTCTAACAAAAAGTACTGTATACTTTTCTGGTATAATCTTAGCATTAGCATAAATCCATAACTAATCAACCTGTACCTTCCCCTCATTAAAACACACTATTTTGTCTTTTTTAAACCTTGATTCTAATTTTAACATTGTCCACCAATCTGTCTGTCTGTCTGCAGACCCATTTCCATACATACTTGGATATTTTTAAATTGTTGCTCTTTAGTTAATAGGTCTTTATACATATATCTCCATTCTTTCAGAATTAAAGAAGGCTGAGTAAATGTTTCCAGCAGTGCTACCCATAGCGGGATTTTTTAATATGTTTGCTCCTGGAAATTTTGCCAAACCTTACGATATGATCAAGAAAAGTTGTTTGATCTTTAACCTTTCCATACCCTATACGTGCATGCCATCCTGTCGTGGTATGGTTAAACCGGCA